ATGCTTTAATAAAAGTTAGCTACAATGAGAAGTAAGATCTAGGGATCAGGGGCTATGTTTGCAGCAAAACTTTAGAGCCCAGACAGCTTACCTTAGAGCCCTGGGCTTAGTATTGACTATAATTATTTCAGTAAGGCAAACCTGAAGAAGGGGAAACTGAGGGAGTTGACCCAGGTTCTGACTGGTCAGTTGCCTGAAGCTGTCAAAATAGCCAGAAAGGTCTATGTTTTAACAAGAATGAGTCCGTTCCCGTGTGCTTTGGTTGCCAAGTACCAATTATGTTCTGATGTTGCTAAAGCCTTTACCCTGCAGTTATTGAATAGGAACTTTGTCCGAACCCATTTCTTCTTTGCTTGTCCTGCCTCTGTTCTGGAGCATCATTTTGCTGAGTCCCATACTGGACTGGACGTGACTTCCTTGAACATCTCACCTGTTAAGGCAATTGCAGAGAGCTTTTCCTGAAGCTCTGCCTTTTCTAATGCCTACAATCCAGCCCTTAGAAGAAGCTGGTACAGATGCTTGCTGTCTTTATTAGAAAGAATTTACCTACTGTTGTGGACCTTTTTGTTTTTTATGTGCAGCAGCTATCTCTTTTTATCTCCGTAGTTGGGCAGCATGCTTCAGAGGGCATTGAGTAGTGATCTGTGAACTCACTCTGTATAGCTTCTCCCATTGGGAGCTGAGGTGGAAAGAGTCTGAGTACTGCCCGGCACGTTTGCCTCCCACCCTTCCAATGACCATTCTTTTGAGCCATGCTGTCCAACACTATAGCCATTAGCCATATACAGATATAAAAATTGAATGTAAATTAATTAAAATTAAATAAAATTAGAAGTTCAGGTCCCCTATCACACTGGTCACATTTTAGGTGCTCCATAGGTACAAGTGATTAATGGTTACTGTATCAGACAGCAGAAATATAGAACATTTTCAGTGGAGATTTAAGTGTCTACTCTTCCCTTGGGGTTTAAGCTAAACTGACTTAAATTCCCGCACACTTAGCAACTTAAAACAGCACTAGTTTATTATTTCACTATTCTATAAGACAGATGCCCATCTGACACAGGTCTCACCAGGCTAAATTCAAGGTGTCAGCTGGATTTTTTTTCTTTCCAAGAGCCTGAAGGGAGCATCTATTTTCTTGCTCACCTCTGCAGGTTGTTTGGCAGAATTAAGTTCCTTAAGGTTGTAAGTCTGAGGTCCTTATTTCTTACTTTCTGTCAGCTGAGGACTATTTCCAACTGTAAAGGTGCCCATATTCCTTGGCTCCTGGCCCCTTCCTCAATATTCGAAGCTAGTAAAAGTAGCTTGAATCTGTTTCATGATTGAAACATCTCTGACTTTCTCTGAGTAAGTCTGTGCTTATAAGGGGCTCCAGTGATTACACTGGGCCTACTCAGATAATCTAGGATAATCTCCCCATCTCAAGATCCATACCTTTAATCACATTTGCAAGATCTCTTTTGCCTTATAAGGTAATGTATTAGAGCATAGATATCTTTGGTGGGAGGGATATTTGTGTTATTTGGTCTATCATATGCCTCCAGATTAAGTTTTGCAATTATTAAGCAAAAATAGCTTAATATTTGAAAAGGTAGCTTATTTGAAGAGGATAATTAAGATTCTACCACCTTTATGTAAATATTATCACTAATTTGCTTTAGAGGCTAAACATCGGGGGAAGACAGGAAACTTAAAGAAATAGATGAAGACATGGAGAAGGTGGAACCTGGAATTTTTGCTTCTTAAAACACATTTTATATTGTTTCATGATGAAACACATATCCATAATAGTACAGTTTAGAGTACATTGATAATTTATCACCAGGCTATCTCTGAATTAAACGTTTACTCATATTTCATTTTTTAAAAAATGAAAATATACAGAAATGGCATTATAATTATGAAGATAATATCTGAAATTGAACAATGTTATAATAATCTTACCAAATTGTAGGTACTTAATGTCATATACTCAATAGCTTGCCTGCCTATCAGACAATAGATTTCTAACTTGATTTTTAAGATACTTGAGTAAAATCTACTTTCTTTTAATGTTTGTTGCCATTCAAATATTCACCATAGGTTTATGTACTACACTCATGTTTAATTTAATGTGTAAAATATTATATATATATATTTAATTAAAAGTTTCCAGTTTATCATCTATTTTAAATATTTTACAATGATATGCTACCTTGTAATAAACTCCATTTATAAGTTTTGAGAATGAATGCAGCATTTACCTTTTTCATCTTTCATTTTATTTATCTCATTAGTTAAGAAACCTTTCCAGCTTGGACCTACGTCATATCACTGAACTGGATAATGAAACCGTGATGGAAATTGTCAAGAGGTGCAAAAATCTTAGCTCTCTCAATCTCTGTCTGAACTGGATCATAAATGACAGGTAACCATTGTAACATGTTAAAAATACTTTTCTGGAGGAAGACATGTAGCAAATACCAATTAACATTATAACAAGACATGTCTTTAAAATTGAATGCAGTTGTGCCTTTTCAAATAGATATGTTTAAGTTTTGAAAACCATCTAGACCTATACTTTTAATGCATTTTTTGCTTGTAATTGCAGCAAAGTTTTTAGGTGCTTTAATACAAATGTTTTCCTCAACAGTTGTAGCAATAGTAAGCTGTTGAATTTTTTCTTTGCTATCTGTCTAAGACTTGCCTGCTTTTTGCCATGCTTGTAAGTTTGTAATCATATATTATTTGTCGCTTTAACAGTTTTGCAACATTTGTGGTTGATTTTAATGATTTGGAGAAACCATCTGAAACATTATACATTTAAATCCTTTCCTAAAGGTGACATTTTTTTTTTTTTCAGAGATGGTGTCTCACTGTGTTTCCCAGGTGCAATTCCTGGGCTCAAGTGATCCTTTCACCTCAGCCTCCTGAATAGCTTGGACTACAGGCATATATGCCACTGTGCCTATATTAGTCCATTCTAGTATTGCCATAAAGAACTACCTTAGACTTGGTAATTTATAAAGATAAGAGATTTGATACATAGTTTTGCAGGTTCTATAGGAAGTATGGCTGGAGAGGCCTCAGGAAACTTAGAAGCATGGCAAAAAGCAGGCACATCTTACATGGCCAGAGAAGGAAGGAAGAGAGTGAAGTGGGAGGTACTCCACACTTTTAGACATCCAGTTCTTGTGAGAACTCACTCACTATCAGGCCAACAGCAAGGGGGAAATCTGCCCCCATGATTCAGTCACCTCCCAACATGCCCTTCCTCCAACATTAGGGGTTACAATTTGACGTGAAATTTGGGTGGGAACACAAACCAAACCCTATCAGCACCTAAGGATGACATTTTCTTTTCAGTATATACATGTAATTTGTTTCAGAAATGGAAGTCTTGTGATGAATAGTTTAATATACAGTATAGAATTGGAAGTTTTTTTCTTGTGAAGAATGATTAACCCATTTTTCTTTGAAATATTTAAGGAAGGAAGAAAACAATACAGGAAAACCCTTAAAAGTAGCCTATTATAATGAAAACAACTGCAGAGTAGCACCAGTACTACTGATTAGGTAGATTTGTAAATATGGACATGAGAGGATTCTTGCCCAGTAAGTTTCCAAGAATTTTTAAGATAAGTTTCTATAAATATTTTCCTTTCAAAATAGAAATCACTGCTTCAGCTAAAATTAGAACCTATTTAGATTTAAATATTCTTTTAAAAATAGAAGAAATAATTTTTTGGTGTCAGATAATGCTTTAAATTTAAGATATTTTTAATTTTTTTTTTTTTTTTTTGAGGCTGAGTCTTGCTCTGTCACCCAGGCTGGAGTGTAGTCGGTGGCACGATCTCCGCTCACTGCAACCTCCGCCTCCTGGGTTCAAGGGATTCTAGTGCCTCAGAACCCCAGTAACTGGGATTACAAGTGTGCACCACCACGCCTGGCTAGTTTTTGTATTTTTAGTAGAGATGGGGTTCTGACATGTTGGCCAGGCTGTTCTCTAACTACTGGCCTTAAGTGATCCCCCAGCCCCCGCCTTAATCTTTCAAAGTGCTGAGATTATAGGCATGAGCCACTGCACCTGGCCTCCCCTCTTTTAATTTCCTTTTATACTTTAAAAATAAAACCATGTAGACTCCACTTTTCCCAATTTTGGTAAATTCTAATGATGACGTTTTCTTAAATTACCCTTAGTTACTCTTTAAATTATGTGATAGCCTTTACTTCACTCTTAATTAGTAAAATTTTTCTTGAAAAATGTACTCATATAGAATGGGTATGTGATCACCATTTATAAAAATTCTCTTGTTTTTGAGTAATATTCACCCTATGAAATATATCAATATTTAAAGAAAATGGAACTGGAGGTCATTATTCTAAGTGAAGTAACTCAGGAATCAAAAACCAAATACCATGTGTTCTCACTTATAAGTGGGACTTGAGCTATAGGTGTGCAAAGGCATATAGAGCAGTATAATGGACATGCGAGCTCAAAGTGAGGAGTCTTGGAGGGTGGTGAGGGATGAAAACTGCCTATTGGGTACAGTGTACACTACTCAGGTAAGGGGTGCACTAAAATCCTAGACCTCACCACTATACAATTAATCCATGTAACCAGAACCACTTATGCTCCTAAAGTTATTGAAATTAAAAAAATTAAGAAAAAGAAAATTCAAATAAATTAACTTTCCTGAAAAGAAAATGTACAAAGTAAAATTCTCTATATTCAACATTCTATATAAAAATTTAAAGTAATCTTTAAAAAGCTATTCATGACAAATAATAAAGTACATAAATAAACAATATCTTGTGGGCTTAGGTATCTAACATTAGTTTAATATATTACCGTAAATTTCTTGGTAATACATTGAATTAAAAGGAGAAAACTGTTTCTGCAACAAGATGATTATATTCCAAAACAGTTTTCGGTATACAGGACATGTGTAGAAGAGTCATTAATTGGAGACTACTATAATTGATAAATAAGAGATAACAGTCTATACATGGTTATATGAATTATCTAAGTAAATATTTTGCTTAGGCTTGTATCATTTAATTAAAGATGGGAGAATAGATTTTTAATCTTCTAGTTCTTTAAATGCTAATTTTGTTGTAACTGGGTAATTTACAAATGAAAGTGTTGGGAGCTCTCACTTTGCTTATCCTTCCCTTTGTTAGGCTTCGTGTACTCAAACCTTGTGCTTTTTCAATCATTTTTTCCTACTTAACTGTAATGGTTATTTGGTGTTTGATGCCAAATATATGTATTGTAGAGATTTACTTGCAAGGATGAAAGCGTATTTTTATGTTTTTAATGGAAAAGTTTGGATTGAGAAAATATGCATTTTAATGAGGTTGAGCAGTAGCATTTTAAAGATCAGGGTCTTTTAGGTTTTAATTACACTACTTGCACTTATCCTGTATACTGTAATAGAAGTTTCAAACATTAAAACCCACTTTGCAGTATCATCTAAATTACTCATCTCATTGTTCTTGCCATACTATATTACTAAGCTAAGTAACATTTGTAATTATATTGGTGTAAATCTAGAACTTCTCATCAGACTTAATTATAATTTCAGCACTTAGCTGAGATGGGTTAGTAACCTTCCACATAGAGGGCACTGGAATGCACTAATGCATTTAGCCTATCAATTAATTCTGTTTTACATTCGTTCATTATTATTATCCTCTAGTAACTCAGAAAGCATTTATTAGCCCCCAACTAAATACTTGGTACTATGTCTCATACTATGGGGCACTGAGTTCCTGCTGTTCTCAAAGGTCACTCTCTTTAGGTGACATAAGACTTAATGATAATAGTGAGCCTTGTAAGGATTGAGGGGATGAAAGTAACCTTTATTACCCAGGTAATTGATAGGCACTTTACACGTGTTCTCATTTAATCTCTTCAACGACTTTTGTTCAGGGGAAAGTCATACTATTTCTATTAAGTCTAAACCATTCCTTTGACTTCTCTTTGGCTTTTCAGTAGATGTATTTTTCCATCGTCGTTGCAGTAAAATCTAAGGGAGGACAAACAAGAAAAAGTGAATGGCTAATCAGTAAATTTTCCATGTCATAGTCGGGATTCACATACAATTTACATTTACATATAAAATTCTTAATTTTTTAACTAAGCTCATTATTTTCTTTCATATTGAAAGTATAGTGGAACTTTTAGATATTAATTTCTATACAATACCTGTTACAAGGATTTATCCTGAATGTTGCTAGTTTTAATAAAGGATTTTTCACATTAAGGTAAACTTCAATACTTGTCATAGTCCTTTATATATAAGATTTACCCTAGGCTTTAAAAGTTCTTATCTGTGAACATTTTTTTTAAGTTCAAAATTTTAAAACATGTAGTAATTGAAAGACTTTACTGTTATGGTGCCTTTTAACATTTTCTGGTCCTTGAATTGATGATCTCTGTGACTAAGACATGCTGCTCTTTATCTTTGTTTTTCTAAAAGCACTTTTTGTGTTTAGAGAGTTAAACAGCATGATATTTTCTTGTATTCAGAAGGATGGTCTGGTAGTCATTTGACATTTACCATTGCTTTTGAATACAAATAAAATCCAAGTGTTTTATGAAAAGAGGACACTGACTATTTCTATCACTGATTTAAATTAAACATCTGGTTATTATGTCTCCTCCAGTCTGATTCTAAGTTTATCGAAATTTTTTTGTAGTTATATTAGTCTTTATTATTTCACATCCAATTTGGTCTACAGCATTTTTATATGTTTGACACAAAGTCCAAAAGCAGCATGTTTTGGGTGTAAAAGCTGATGTGTAAAAAACTGAATGGTCTGAGCATTGTTATAGAAATATAATAGTTCTTTTATTCTTTTTTGTTAATAAGAATTAAATCTAATTGATTTTAATAGATCTTTACAAAAGCTCTTTTTAGTTTTTAAACTATCAAAGAGCTAATCTCATTTTCAATTTTTTACATTGGTCCTGAAAATTAAATTAGTTTAATCCTATGTTTTATATCCCCATTATCAAATATATGAGCCTTTTTTTTGACAGTTGACCATGCTTGCTCATGAATTAGGAGAACAATACAGAAAATACTACAAGATAAATAACATTATTTAATAAGTAGCTAAAATCACAAAGCATAACAAAAGCCAGCGTTGTTGTTAATATCAGTTTTGTTGCCATAATTTGCTGTGTGAATCTTGTATTTATGTAAAGGAAGCTACTTCATCACTGCATATTCTAAAATTTGGAAAACTTTAAATCTTAGACTGGTATCCATTTTCTTTCAAGTAAAAAATAAGGTTTACAAAATATTACTATTTTATTCTATATGTGCTACAGGTTAAAATAGTACCTATAGATATTTTTCTCTCTCTTTTTTTTTTAAAAATGAAGTCACACTCTGTTGCCCAGGCTAGAGTGCAGTG